ATGAACAACTCATTCAGCTCTTTCGACTCGACGGCCGATGCCTCTGGGCCTGTACAGTCTCCCGAGCCTCTGGCTGGAGACCACTGTGAGATCGTCTTCGAGCAGGTTGCGTCCGCCTTCAAGGACCTTGCTCGCGCCAGAGCGGCAGCAGACCCACGGCCAATCTCTCGCAAGCAGAAGCAGCGAGATGCCTCAATTGCCCTCTACCTCGAGCGTCTACGGGATACCTGCAACGAGGCAGTGGCAGCTCTCAACTCTAGCGCCGACGATACTACCGCTGGACCTGCCGCCTGGGCCATGTCCTCCCAGCGCAGCTCGTCTGGAGGCAGCACTTTCTCTACCAGCAATGGCTTATCCTCCTCCAGCTCACCCTCCGAAGGGTGCGTCGAGTTCTACTCCCAACCTCAGTCCAGCCGGCCCTCCGTGCCTTCACAGTCTCCCGCCTTGGACCAATCCCGATCCCAGTCCCAGCAACCTTCTCCTCCAGCCGCGTCTTCGGGAGGTATCGAGCTCGTCATGGACCTCAACATGAACGCTGCAACCTCTCTCCCAAGGCGGCACCGTCCACGGACCGAAACTCAGCGCCAGCGATACCTGGCTGTCCGCAACCACGGAGCCTGTGAGAAGCATAAGAAGCAACACAAGCGGTGTACGTGCATCGATAAGGCAATTCCTCTCACTGCATCGCCCTCCTCTCAGGCAAGCATCCATGCCAGCGCAGACGTCAGTGCTACTGGTTCTGGTGTCAAGAGCGGCAAGGCTGTCCGCAAGACATCGTCACTTCGGCGTGTTCCTGGCGCCCGTGGCGGTCGTGACTCCCTCTCACCCACGTCCGGAGAGGATATCTGGCCAGGACTTTGCCATAATGGCGAGGCCCTGGTTAGAACCAACAAACATATGAGCACCGTGAAGAATGGGGCTGGCGAGACCGGTATCTCGACCCAGTCTCTACAGCAGCAAGGCGGACTTGATCATAGCCACGGACCTGGCCATGATATAGGCAATTCGCATGACAAGGGCCTGTCACGCCACAGAGGAGCCTCTGGCGATGGTGTCTCTACTTTGCCGGCAAACACTGGCCGCAAGAGAGGCGCAACTGCGCTCTCGGGAGTCCTGGATAAGAACTCCTGTATCCACTCTCGCCCAGTACAGGGCAGGAGTCTAGCGGACTACAACTCTCGTTGTCAGAACAACGGAGTATTCGTCAACACTACCAAGAAAACTCTTCTTAACCGAGACCAGAGCCATCCTACTGTCAAGAATTCCTCCTTGCTTGTGTTCCCCGATGGAACGATGAATAGCGGCCCATCCTTCTTTGGCCAGTTGCCGAAGAATACTCAGAAGAAATCTATATGTGGCACGAACGGACTACAACACACGTCGTGCGTGCATGATTGGAACTCTCGCGGCGAGAGACAGAAACCGCTGAATAGCGTTAAATGCAACCGCGACGGCTGCCATTTGAAATCATCGTCAGCAATGACCAATGATTATCGTGCCCACATATTGACCCACCTTCCGCCCAACGTACACCTAGCACTTCCCCATACTGCCTATCCAAGTAATACTCGCGATGGATACCTCGAATCAACGCCGTCTGTTCTTCGTCGACCACCCGGCTCTACCCTTTCTCCCGCGTACCCCGGCCTACGGTGGTTCATACGAGCATGCAACCACCAGATGCTGTCACACTCGAAACGTATCACCCTTTACCAGCGTGAATATGCACTTTGGTGCGTCATATGGGTGACGATACTACTATTGTCAACTCTTTTCAAAGGTGCTTTGGTATAATCTCTTGAGGATCAAAAAAAAGTCCCGCTGATGGAGCTTGAGACGGTTTAAATCTAGACGCCTGTTTCGCTCTCAGCTTGTTTCTGCTTTGTCTTGCAGCGTTCTGTATCTCGTTTATTCTCCCTTCGTTTTGATGCTTGAATGAGAATCTCGTTAACTAGTTATCCCCTCCCTCTGTAGATGCTTAGAGCTATATAGTTCCCTACACTGAGATCTAATCAATGTACCTTTTCTCTGGTCATTATCCTTCTCTCTATAGATGTTATCCCCTTGACAGCGACAGACAGTTTTTACAAGGTAAACAAGCCATGCATGATGAGTCTTGGCGAGCCGCAAGGTCGACGTTCTTCTTTTGACGTCCGAGTATGAAATACTTTTGATACTTCAACCTTCATACATCAAGTTCTATCTTTAGTTGATACCGTACATATATCAATACTGGATATTTCCGTCTCTCTAGGCTCGTGGTAGATGCAGACACCGCAGCTTCATCGTTCGACCAGCTGCCCAGCCAACTACCCCGCGAACCATCGAGATTTAAGGAGTAATAGGACAGACGAGCTTCACGCTTCATGGCTGGCTGGTTTCTTCTGAGCATCGCCTCTCTAGCCGGTTCATTCCCCCTTCTCGCAATGGGGGATTCTGCACATCTCTCGCACATCGAATATTCAACTGTGCCAGGGTATTTTATGCAGGATGACCCGGCTACTGATCCTAGCACCTTTGACTATGTCTGTTTCTTCTCCTCCCGCCTCGTTGTCTAGCCGGTGGGATTCTTATATATCAAGTATATTTAGGCAAAGTCGGGCTTCGGACTGATCGATCAAGTCTATGACACGGATGAGGCGTTTGATCCCGACCAGAAGGTATCTCCGTGGGCAAGATTTGAACATAAAGTCCGCTCTCTGAACCACCATGCCCCTTCAAATACTAGATTTGCGGTGCTCTTTTTGGGGAGACATGGCCAGGGGTTTCATAATGTGGCGGAGGCCTTCTACGGGACTGCCGCTTGGGACGTATGTATTGCCATCTACCTGGGAGTATCGTTATTTTATGGGATATGTAGTGACATCTTACTAGTCTTACTGGTCCAAACTGGACGGCAACGGGACGATAACATGGTCTGATGCCCATCTTACAGAAGAAGGGGTGAACCAAGCAAAAGTTGCTCGGGATACATGGGCAACCCAGATGAAGAAGTCGGTCCCTCTTCCAGAGGCGTATTATACCAGTCCATTGGACCGATGCCTTGCCACAGCTAAAATTACATTCAGCGAACTCCAACTTCCGGCTACCAAACCCTTTGTTCCAACTGTAAAAGAGGTAAGATAAATCTCCGTGCCGCACGGGCATATGAATGCATGGACTCAGAATTATTCTTTAGCTTCTCCGCGAAACCCTAGGTGTCCATACATGCGACAGGCGCAGCTCCAAGCAATACATTGAAAGCACGTATCCAACATATAAAATAGAACCAGGGTTCTCACCGACTGACATACTATGGGACCCTGAAGTCCGGGAACCTGACGCTGCCCGAGATGTTCGTCTAAAAAAACTGCTTGATGATATTTTCGTCCACGACAGAAGTACAATCATGTCCCTCACGGCCCACGGAGGAGCCATCAGGTCCATCCTTAATGTCATCGGCCACCGAGACTTTGCCCTGCAGACAGGATCTGTCCTCCCTGTCCTCATCCGGGCAGAGACGAAGCTTGGAGCGGCCTCAGAATTGGAAGAGGAACTATCCATTCAAATCTCAGGTATCAGCACTACTAATACGGAGAGCAGCCAATTTAAAGAACAGTCATGATTTTAGACAATTTAGATAAATTTGGGGCTATAGAACAAAGCATTAGATACAATGTTTCGGATACTTCGTTCTTCTATTAGTTCAGATACAGGCATCCAGCTCAAGTTTTAATTTGGGTATGGGACACGAAGGAATGATAAAAAAAGCCAATGCTCTATTGCTATGTACATTTGATCGGCGGTGGGAAACTATATACAGACATGCTGGCTCTGGCTGACAGAACCCATATGGGAATGGATATGGATAGGAAAGTATTTACAAGTTGGAGGCCATGGCAAGCTCGGTCATGAATCCAACGGCAACCTTGGCATGCTCGAGCATGTGGTCAAAGTCCAGGTAGTCAGTAACGTCGTCAGCGGAGTGGATGTGTGGGTTAGAGTCACGGAAAGCTGTTTCGGCGACCATGGAAGCTGGGAAGCCGCTACGGTCGGCGGAGGCATGGTCGGAGCAAGCGTAGCCGCACTTGGTGTCAACGATTGGGATAGAAGCGTACTAGGTGAGAGAGTAACGTTAGCACGGATAATAAAGGCAAAACGAAGCTAAAGGCGGCAGTTTACCTTCTTAACGATCATCTTGCAGAATTGGTTTAATTCTTGGTTCGTGTTGTCGGTGATAAGACCAAATTGCTCAGGGCCACCCTTCTTAACAAAGCCAGCGAGATCCTGGTTAAGCATAGCCTTGATCTGGCGGCCGTCACTCTTATACTTCTTGAAGATAGCGTTAGAACCCAAGAGACCACCTTCCTCACCGGCATACCAATGGAATTCCATGGTATTGGTGTTGTTTGCAGCTTGGAGAGCCTTAGATCCCAAAACGCCGCGAAGGGCCTCGAGGACAACAACTGATCCACTTCCGTTATCATCGGCACCTGGGGCGCGGCCACCCTCAGGGTCCTGCTCGTTGATACTATCCTGGTGAGCTCCGATGACGACGGTTGACTCGGATCCGGGAATAGTGGCAATGATACTAAATTGCTGAAATTGATTCTCGAATTTCTCGACCTTCGCACCCTGGATACCAGATGCGTCAATGGCCTTCTGGACTTGCTCCATTAACCAGGTAGCAGACTCAACACCGGTCTGCGACTCATAGTATCGGTTGTTGAACTCTATCATGGCCTTCAGGTCGCGCATAAGATTCTCCTTTGAAAGGTTGGCAATGATAGGAGCTACGATAGAAGAATGGCGAGAGTTTTTAGGGTAATTGGCAGAGACGGGCTGGCTAGCGGTAAATCCAGTACCGAACTCGTCGGTGATATCGATGAAGGTTTGTCCAGCCTAAGTGAGTTAGCAAAGTGGGCTCCTCTTACTATTATGAACAGAGGGTATAGAGAGGAGATATAGGAAGAGCATACAGCCTTCATCTGGTGCTTCTCGTTCTTAGTAACCCATTGGGTCTTTCCTGGGGCAAGCTCGATCAAGTACTTGTCGTTTCCAACGCCAGCTGGGCGAACTGGGCCAGCAATAGCAGTGGCAGCGGCAAAGGCAGCAACGGCGGCTAAGACGGAAACCTTCATGTTGGATACTAAAATAAAAAGAAAGTAGGTGCTTGAAGTGAAAAGAGTTCGTATCTTGCCAGCTGATCGAATGGGAGAGGGAAAAGAGCAACAAGCTAGAAAAATGTGGAAAGGTTCTAGTTTAAGTATCTTTCCATGACACAGCTATATATACAGAGTACGTATATATATATATGTATTTGGGGTCTTCCCGGAAGATTGCCTCTGGAGAGTCAAGTAATATAAGATATAAGGCCTCGGAGTGGACTGACGCAGTTGCAATCTGGGGCAGCGGGGCCGAAGGAGAGACGTTCCGTTCAGGACACAAGATCGTCCATGTTCCAGATGATCAGCGTCTGCTAACCACAAGGTAGGAAGGACCTGAAGGAGGCCCTGAAATTCCATGGAGAGGAACACGAGAGTTGGTTGCTCAGTGGGCCCGATAAGGAGACAGGCGGTTGATCATAAAACTCCGTATATATAATAGTAGACGCATAAATGTATATTTCCGTGCCTCTCCCGATGGATGTATGTGCGGGATGACGAACACACGTGAAAGTATCTTTACTGAGTACTCTCAAGAGCGAGTAACAGTACTCCGTACTCGTTCTGAACGGATCAGGCCTGGCTTAAGCTCGTATTCATCCTTTAAAACAGTCTCTCCTCTGGAAAATAAAACCGAAACAAGATCAAAGCATCTCTGCAGGCGTATGAAGCTGATAAGTACTGGGTATAAGCCTGGGGTAAGTCCGGGATTCCTGGCATGAAACGTCAGCGAAAAGTCCCATTCAACCCACCCTGACCAAAAATGAACCCTGGCATGTTTTCCCCCACTGGAGGACCGAACTCCATCACGAGGCACGCAACGGTGTCTTGGTATGAATATAAACGCAAGTGAATGGTTCTGCTGCATGCTGTGATGTACAGACGATCAACAAGCCAGCAGGCCATCCCGTATGGATACCTATATATATGTATATCCATATGTAACAGCTCTTTGATGCTCTTCAGGAACAACCGCGGGAGCCTTCTGGGTTTACAGGTGAAACGCCGGGGCAGAGGATCGACCAACATCTGAAAAAGCCGTCGTTAACCCAGCCATCCTTGTGATTTCAAGGAGACATGTTCTCGCCTTGGGCCTGTTTGAAGTATCAAAACTGAAGGAAGAAGAAGAAGATGAAGTCGAAAGAAAAAGACGAAGTTGGAGTCTCCCACTTCCGAAAATGGAACGGAGCCGGAGTATATATTAATCCATGGATTACATAACATTGATATCGTAAGCGAGAACGCCCAAAAGGAAAAGGGAATATAACTAATAAAGACGCCGGAAAAAACAGAATAAAAGAGAGAGAAGTAGGAAAGATTCAAGAAACTGGGTTGGTTTGAGCCTAGTCGTGGTCGGCTATCAACTCGTAGCCACCTTCGTTCGGAAGCACTCGAGCTACCATGTACATCGCCGCCGCGTTGACTAGAATCAGGCACATGCTTACAGTACATAAGATCCACGAGTCGTCGAGCTTCCATCCAGGGTAGAAGCGGTCGTCGTTGTCAAATAGATATGACTGTCCACTCATGTCAGCAGCTGTCTGTCTATATCATGGCTTGAGTGCATGTATTAATATTGTATCGTAAGCGGGGAGGAAACTAACCACCAGGCCCATGCCGCCAGCCTGCACAAGGCCAATCAGAACCAGAAACACGGTCAATAGCTTCCACCCAGTTTCTCTCAGCTGCTTTCCTCCAGCTAGTATTACTACAAATGCCACGAAGGTCATTCCTTCCAGGACAACGGCGAGGGACAACAGAAACCCGACTGATCGCCACATCGAGCAGAAGGTCGGGTTGGATATCGCATAATCGGTGAGAAGGCTAGACCCAGAACCGCTGAATCCATTGGCATTGACCCCAAACATGGACTTCTCAGCCTGACAGTCTTCATACTGAGGAAAACTGTCGCATACTGGGGATTCGGACGAGCACCGCCTGGTTAGGCCGTACGTGAGATAGAACTGCTCACCGGAGGGCTATCAGAGCAACTGGCATTAGCTAGCATGCTCCAGTCGTGCTTCTCAGGAAGGGTCTCTCTCACCGTCTCACTATAGTAACCAAGCCATCTTGGAAGGAAGATTGACACCAGCGTCAACGCAGAGGCTATAGTTATCACGTATCAGCACAGGGTACAAACTCCGGAAGAAGGATGGGAGACACACCTATCAGGAACAGCAATAAGGTAAACGAATAAAGAATGGTCTTTGTGAAAAAGCCAGTGTAGTTCTTTCGCCCTTCCCCGGGCACCAGACGTGAGTCCACGATGGCGGTTTTGATAGTTCCAAGTTCTCTCCGTAAAGTAGATAATGACAACAACCGGGTCTCCCTTTGACGGCTGTCGCTATCCTCAAAGCCTACGAGTGAACAAGCTAAGAGTCCTGTACGAGATAAAAGTCGTGAGCTTCTTCTTCTTCCTTGCTGTAGAAGATGTTTTCTTCTTCTCCTTCAAGGCATGACGACAAACCCGCATCATGTGATTCTATACAGAAACAAGGCAGAAGTTTTTCTTTTAGAGCCTTCAACGCTTTTTATATCGAGCATTTATACTCATTATCGCTAGATATGATATGTCCAAAGCCGCTTGCCGTAGTTGGCTCAGGCGTAGCATGGAGTTCGCCTCAAAGAGCTCTGCTCTACATGTATCAACCAGGAATCATCGTTCAAATAGGTGAAATTTCAATTCATCCTCCTCTTCGGTCATAGAAACCAAAACGGAGAAGCAGAAGGTAATCATACATTCCTCTATCACCACACAGCGAAGCAATCGCCTCATTTCCCTTCCCCGTGCCCAACTTGATAATTAAATTAAGCAATATATCAGTGTCTGGATCTGCGAGGTACGAATACTGCAAAAAATAGAAGAGATAGATCAAAGGAAGAACGCAAAGGAGAAAAGCCATTCCATCATGCAAGCAACGGTATATGGACATGAAAGAAGAAGAGCAAAAAAAGAGAAGGGACAACCCAAGGTGTGTTGACCAGTAGAAGAAAAAAGGGATATAAATTTTACCTGCTAGCTCTATCACACCATTGGGGATAGGCCAGTGCAAGGCTGATATTTTTATTTTTGTGACACGCGTTAAATGGGCATTTCTTTAGGAGAACTCGCATCGTGAAAAAAAAGGAAGAGTTAGGGGGATTGTAAAACAAGCATGAAAGGCGCCACCGAATGATAGGGGAGAAAAAGGGGCTAGAAGATTGACAAGATCAAATGACAAGTCAAATGGATATAGAAGAAGTGAAAGGAAAAAAGGCGAAAAACAGGAATATGTGGTCCTTATAGAACAGGTGAAGTAACCAGCCTCACTTGGGCTGTGATAACATTGCTCGAAAGTCATCATTCGTCTTATTCCGTGTCGTCGTGGATTCGGACTGCTTCTGATCCTGGCCGTCGATATCATAATGATTAGACGTTGGAGCGGGTTTGTCTCTCGAAGGAATGGAGGATCCCCCGCGTTTCACGCCTAATCCACCTCTACGGCCGCCGGACGGCTGGTTAGGTCGTCGTATTGGGGCCGAGGGTTGTTGCATCATTCTCCCACCAGCAACGCCACTGCCTGACGTCGTAGCACCGCTGGCCTTCCCTTTTTCCTTGCCAACAGGTATTCTATCAATCTTATGCTCTGCCTTTTGCTGTAACATATTCTTCACCGAAACAACGCGAATAAACCGGCCCGGCGTAATCTCATATCCTTCAAGGGCCAACGATGCTTTTCCCGCATCATGGGTATCGGAAAACTCTACAATGGCGCCTTGGTGGTCTGGCCGTAGGATAATCTTGACCAGTGCACCGTATGGTTCGGTGAGAGCACGGATGCGGGCGTCATTGACCGTATCGGGAATGTTCATTAAGGCAACGGTGCGGAGGCGGCGATCGCCCATTATTTTGTACTGTCCATTAGACACTGAACCTGGCGATGTTGAAGGGGTACCGGTTCCGTTGCGTTGAGCATTTGTCGCGGGTGATTCGGACCGAGAAACAACTGTAGTTTGATGTCGTTTCGCTCCCGTGTTTGTCGAGAGCCGGACATTCAACTCTCGCCCCTTAAACGTCTTCTCGTTCATAGCCAGAGCAGCATTTGATTGATCCTGTTTTGCATTTAGCATTTCTCTGCTGTATATATATGGCTACCGCTTTGTTCAACTTACCTTTGTTGCAAAGGTAACAAAAGCAAAACCTCTGGTCTCTCCATTGACCTTGGTGGGTATCCTCACGGACTCTACATCGCCATACGCTGTGAACAGCTCGACAAGGTCTCCCTCAGTGGTTTTGTAGGGTAGGTTACATACGTAGATCTCTCTCCCTTCCTCATATGCACCAGAACGGACCTGTCGCTGGGAGGGATCCGAGATTTTCACCACTAACCTTAAATTACCGCCCAAATCTTTCTCATTGAGCCCAGTGGCAGCGTAAGCATCCGAGGAAGAAGTGAACTGCACGTAGCAGAAGCGACGGTGAGTGTTATACTTAAGTGATGGGAACCGCACTTCGGCGATCTCGCCACACTAACGCGTATTAACGTTAGTCTCCTGAATAGCAAGATCGGGGGAACACTAAGAAAATGGGGGGGAGAGCTGGGAATACCGAATGAAAGAGCTCACGGATATAGTTTTCATCCGCCGTTGGCGGAAAATTCGTTACAAACACTGTTGTGTCCGTAACTGGTTCGACAGTTACCTCATTTCCTTCTAAAAATTTTTGATTCTTTGTGCCAGCAGCGAGGGCGTCTTCGTGGGTATCAAACTCGAGTAATGCAGACCCCGGCTCGCCGGGTAGCATTTGTAGGCAATTAAGTTTCCCGCACTACAGGGCATGATTATTAGAATTAAAGGGGCAGATGGATAAATAAAGAGATTGGATACCTTACATCTCGGAAAAACTGTCGAATCTTCACCTGGGGGATATCCTTTGGCAAGTTCTTCACGATAACACTTGCATGTTCTCGATCACGCACCGGTGCCTCTACAGATTGGACGGCATCCCCCTTTGCCTTCTTGGAGGTCAAACCGTTCTGCTCTGGTTCGTTCCCGCGTTTTCTTTTGCCGACCGGCTGCACTCCATCAGCATGGCTATATTGCTGTTCCAAAGTATCCAGATGTGCTCCCACTGCTGCTGCTGCAGGTTGAGGTTGGTGATATTGCTGACTGGCGGGCGCCTGGTGCTGGTGGTATTGTTGTTCCATAGCTTCCCTTTGTCTACGCTTGGTCAATGCCTTCATCGCCTTTCGAACGTCGATTATGGCAAGCTGTGATTCGTCAGCATCTTCATAGTGCTCGCAATGAGAAATATAGGCATCCATGATCTTCTCTGGCCAGTCTAGGTCTGTCCGTTGCAAAGCCTGCTTCAACACAGCCGTTGCATAGCTCGGGTTAGGCATTCGTCGCGATGCACTCGCCGAGGAGTCACAAGGCATGAACTTGCTCCACGATAGGAGCTCCCAGGTGTAGTAGGCTAGCCAGAATTCAAAGCTATGTCCGTGTCGCGGAATAAGGTTCTTGAATTCCTCGCGTGCGCTGTCCCAGCTTCCGCGGGCGCTAAGATAGCGAATGTAGATGCGTTCTAGGTGGAAGAGCGGGTCGTTCGGGCCAGCCTTATTGGTCTTGTCGCCTAGCTCCTGGACCGATTCGATCGCAGAGCGGATACCGACTTCGGCAACATCGAGGTCTTCATCTGTGGATTCCGGTTGGAGTGCCCAGCGACGAAGATAGCTACACCATGTTGTATGTACCTTCAGGACTTCGTTGATGCCTGCCGCGTCTAGGAGGCCGGAGCGAGTGGCCTTGTGCTTGAGCTCGAGGATTTCGGCGAAGGAGAGGCCGGCTCGTTCGGCGCTGACGAAGAGTTGTGACCAGAGCGCGCCAGACCAGGGACAGTGACGAGTTGCGCGCTCGATCGCAGGGATAGGGGAGGCGCCTATGGGGCCCTCCATCGACTCATCGATGAGGAACATCACGTAGTCTTCCCATATAGTAGCGTCAGTGGGGAAGCGGAGTACGGCGCGCTGGTAGAGAGAGGTGATTAGTTCAAGGCGGAGCGGCTGTAGCTGTTGCCCTTTTCTCCTCTGCGGCCTCGACGTCTCCCACTCGATATACTCTTGGAAAGTGGACCACTCGCTGGTAGTGTCCTTGAGCTCAAAGGCTCTGTGCAGGGCGGCCTCTCGGGACTCGCGAGCCGAATACATGGCCTTGGCCTCGGCTGCTTTGTTTCCGGCGTCCACCATGATGTCCTCGTAGTTGGAGTTGTAGTACTTGGAGACAAAGTTGGAGAAGAGCTGGGAGGTGTCGTCCCAGCCAGCATGGGGGGTTTGGAGCCTGCTCTCGAAGAGTGCGCGGAGCTGCGAGACCCGTTCTTGAGACGGCGAGGCGTCGACATCCTGCATCAGGAGCTCTAGGTAGCGGTTCCAGACGAGATGGCTGTCGTTAATGCGCCACCTGGTCGCATCGGCACCGGCCTTCCAGACCTCAACCACTGACTGCCACGTAAACACCTCGCGGCCGATGATCCTGTCCTCGTCCGACCAGTGGCCACGGCCGGAGCCATCTCTGTCCCCGGAAGAAGCCTTGTACAGGTACAGCATCCACTCACCGTATATAACCCAGAGCTTCGTGCTTCCGTACTCTTCTTCCACAGATCGGCGACAGAGCTCCATGACGGCAATGCGCTCGTTGACGGTGCGGGCGAGCAGGCTTTCGTCCTGGATCCATTCAGCCCAGAGATCCTCTCCGATGGCGAACAGACTGTCCAGCTCCTCCCTGGCAGCCTTGAGATCCTTGAGCACGTCAAAGCGGTGAGGGTCGCCGTGGGAGTCGGGCGAGGCTGGGGGGTAGATGTGGTCCACAAACCCTTGGTGGAGAAGCCGAATGAAGTTGACGCGGTCCTCGTAGGCGTAGTGGTTCTTTTGAATGTTGCTGTAGAGCTGCATGGCCGTCCGCTGGGCCTCCGGGCTAAGACACGCGCTGGTAAAGTCACGTCTGGGCGCATCGGCACTCCCATCTGCCCCGTCGTACGCAGACGGCCGTGGAGTCGGCGTGCTGTGCGCGGCAGGCGGCACGATGGGGAAGGGAGACGACGAAGGGTTGGTCTCGTAATGGTCGCCTCTCTTTATGTGTGCAGCCTCGACGAGGGCGTCTATGCCGGGAGTAGAGGGTGTCTGCGGTCCATGGCCGGTGCCGGGAGTCTGCCTTGGACCTGTACCATTGCCGTGGCCGCTTCCACAGCCACTCCAACTCGTCGTCGGTGTGTCTCCCTGGCGTGAAACAGGACGAGGTGACGAAACAGGAGCAGGTGAGCGAACAGCCTTCTCCTGTCTGGCCGTGGGTGTGATCAAGTCCCTAATATCCATTGCTGCAAAACTCTGTTATCGGAGCAAAAGACAGTAAAAAAAAAACTCCCCAGCCGAGAGAAGCCAAAGATATGTTGTGGAAAAAAAAAAAAAACCGTAGGAAAGATGGGCGGAAAAAAAAAAAAAAAAGGGAAAGGAAAAGTAGAACTGAGCGTCTTCTTTAACAGAGGCCGGCCAAACTGGATGGTTTATCAGTAGCGGCGCAGGAGTTCCATCGCAAAGGGAGGAGGAGGGAATACGCCTTTCCGTATGTAAGTACGCGCAGACAAGACACACTAGGAACGGTTTCCCAAGACGTTGCCTCCTGGTGCCTCCGACAAGTATCACAGGAGCGGCTGGACGTGTTATCCGAGCAGCAGACCGGGCCCTGGAGAAGAGACAAGAGACTGATACGGCCTTGAGAGGCTGGCGCTGCTGCTGGCTGGCGGGCCACCTGAACGGGCGAGACCAGAACGAACGAGATCAGAGAGAACGTCGCATCGTAGAACAGACGCCAGCAAAAGACCAGGAAACACGGCAGAGGACGGAGGAGGCGAGAGAGGCGGCGTAGACGGGAGCAGGACTGCTGCTGCTGCTGCTGCTCTCTGGCTGTGTTGTTGGTTTGACGTTGAAGTTGACGAAGTTCGAGATGTTCGAAAAGGAAAAAAAAAAGAAGGTCAAAGTAAAGTTACTGCTGCCCCTTGCCGCCTTTTTCTCGCTCACTAAGCAACGACTTCGACGTCGCCAGCTTGACTCTATCGCTCTATCTATTTCTATTATCTGGATGTTATTATATTATACTATTACTACTGTATGTGTCGATGTTTAGGGCGGGAGGATGCGTGATGTGGCACTGCAACGGCAAGTGAGGCCCGTACTTTGGGTGTTCCAGGGTAACATCTTCTAGCAGGACGAGACGAACAAGACGGTGACGACAGAGTACCTAGTAGAGAGAGAGAGAGAGAGAGAGAGAGTCCTGGCAGTGGATCTAGACCGCGATTCCTGGGGAAACATGGCCTTAGCGAGGCTGATATAGGGCTCTCGGCTCAGTCAACTCTGCACCGCAGCATGGAAACCATGGAAACAGGTCAGTGACAGTGAGGAAATGCGCGCATGGCTGCTGCGATGTATGTCTATATGGACTGGCTGACGCACGAACCTGCGTGCTCGTGGGTGCTTGTCTTGCTCCCTCCGATCGCCTGCTCGAGACATCCTGTTGGCCTGTCTTCGTCGACCCGGCATGCAGCTGTGCTCTCCGCGCTGCAGCTCTCCCCTTCTGTTTCCATTCCTTTCTTTTTCCTCCTCCTGCCCTTCTGGTCCAAAGGAGGAATCCGGCAAGCAAAAGCAACCGGTGGCTGGTCGGGCGTACCATCACCTGATCCGCCACTGACGTCACGGCGAGGAAAAATATTTGTGCACATTCCCGTGTCAAAGGGCGAGACACGGAAAACGAGAAAAGGATGAAGCAGCATCCCTCTTATTCATGCAGCCGCCCGAGTTGTGCGAGCTCCCACGTCAAACAGCTGCCTGTGGCGTCTTGTACGACAGGGGAAGTATCCGTATCACAAGAAACAGTGGAAGAGAAAAAGAAAGAAAGGGAAAAAAAGATAAAGATAATAGATTAAAGGAGGGACGATAATTAAATATATACATTAGAACCTAAAACACTATCCGCTCTCCAGTCCTAACCGTGACATCCCTAATTGGCTGTTGTGAACCTGCTTCAGTGGTGGCCGGGCTTGGGAAGCTTGGGGAGAGAAGCAAGGAACTTCATGATAAGTTGAATCAACTTGCCAATGCTGAATTTACCCTCTGCGAAGAGCTGGAGAATTCCGTTGATCAGGTCGCCAAAGGCGGATTTGGCATCGTTTACCTGGGCTGCAGTTGCTACTACGCCGTCTCGGGCAGAGAGGCCACCGAAACCGGGGAAGATGATTTTCATAATGCCCCCAGCAATCTCTGCAAGGAGGGCGACGATTGCCTGGATAAGCTTACCGACATTGATGTGCTTGCCGTCACCGACGATCTGGATGATGGCGGCGATGAGCTTGGGGATGTCAAAGAGGGAGGCAGCATGGACGTCTTCAGAGCGAGCAGCGAGTGCACCAGAGGAGGCGGAAAGTTGCATGACACCATGGACGGTCTGGCCGATTTTGGCGTTGGGGAATTTGCCCTTGAGCAGGTCGATGATGAGCTGGATCAGACCGGCGATGTCGAGCTTACCGCCTTTGAAAAAACCGAGGATCGCCTCGATGATTTTTCCAATATCGGCGGGAGGCTTGCCTTCAGTGTGGAGAGAGGCGAGAACGACGTTGGCGACATCACCAGGCTTAACGCTGCCTTCGGTAACACTGAGGCTATGGGCGTGGCTACCAAAGATTTGACGGAGAACCTCGAAAATGGCCCCGATAATCTTGCCAATATCCACGTGCTTGCCATGAAGGGCATCGATGATCATCTGGATGATGGCACCGATGTTGATGCCGTTGGCGGTGACGTCCTTGTGGATTTTGGCAGCCAGGCCTTTGCTGTCAATGCCGCTGTTCTTGCCTCCTGCGGCACCATCAATGGCCTGGGCGATCCTGAGGACTTGGGCATCAGGAGCTCTAGGGTCAAGGGCAGCAGCCCTGGGAAGGACGAAGGAGGCACATTGCTCTATCGTGGAAGGTTAGTCCCTCTGTTGACCTGTTGACCGTTAAGGAACATGAACATACCCTCCACGCCCTTGCACTGGGCATGGTCGATGGAGCCACCAGACGCGGCTGCGGTCTGGAGGCAGTCGGAGAGCCGGTTTACACAGTCTTGGTTTCTTTCAGAGATGGAGTTAACGGCACGCGCGGAGGCGAAGGCCGCAAGGAGCGGAAGAGCGAAGAAGGCAACCTTCATGGTGAGTGCGTATAAAAAATAAGTATATAAGACAAAAAGGGGTTTTGGACCCGAGATCAACCAGGGCGTAGCGAGCGACAGTAAGTAAAGAGTGACAAGAAGGACGCCAGTGGGATGGAAAAGAGAGAGAAGAGGTAGACGTTCGATGAAGGCATTGTCACGACTTATATACCCATCAACGACAGAAAATTTGCTCTGATAGCCCCTTTAACCTCTTGCCCCTGACACCTTTAGCCTCTTCTCCACGGTATTTCTGATTCCCTGACGTCTGCACCTATCCTAATCGTTTTTGGATGAACATGCAGTACGGTTCCATGGCTCGTGGTGTCAAGAACGTCCTCTTTTGAGTTTGCATGTCGCCCCCCGTCGATCATGGATCGCTCGCATGGGACCCCCCGGGAAAAAACGCTTATGCCATGGACCTATCAGAAGCCGAGGCGGGTTATCATTTTGTATATATATGCTGAGATAACGATTCTAGCAAGGTTGAACATAATTTCTTTCCCGTTATCTCGTCTCGAGGGAGAAAAACTCCTCTTGGTGAAGCACAGAAGAAAAATGTATACCGCAGACCTGTAATGTCGTACTTCATGCACGAAGAAGGAGTCCAAGCTGACAGCTGTCACAGGCGTCACGAGTTTCACGGTTCAACGGATATCTTGACAGTTCAACTGAACCCACCGGAGAAATGGAAGCGCTATTAGCATGGCGGGGCAGCCCTTGGCAGGGGTATTCAACTCCGAATCAACATTTCCATCGTAGGGGGTATCATAGAATGCCGGATGCATTCCCAGGGACAGGTCAATGCACCCTAAACGAGAAAAGCGCCCGACCATCCTCAAAGTGGCTCTGTGGCCTTGATTGGGGTCATGCAGGTATTCTGCTCCTCATGTGAGTGCTACGTCGGTAAGGAGAAGAGGACCGAAAGGTGGTTTCCCGGGCGGGCAAACCGTACACTCCGAGGTATATGACTCCTTTTCCATGATATCAGCAAAAGATGAGATAAGCGCGAAGGAGGCAGATCAACTATCAGTGTGATAACATCACCCCGTCCGGGTGTCCATCCATCAAGCTCGGTTGGCAGCCGAAGCCTGTGAAGATGGAGTCTGCTTGAAGCATGGCAGCTCGATTTGGAGGTAATTATGGAGTACTACGGAGTAGGTGGTCGGAAAGCGGAAAACTTGACATGGTAAGGAAGATATCGAAGGAAAAAACGTCGTTGAAGTTGATGATGTTGAAAGTCTTTGCGTGATCGGCCAAAAACGCCTAAAGAGGAAAAACTCCCGAAAACCTTCCGGAAACCCGGGTCAAAGGACCGAGCACGTGGAAATTAGTAAGAGCTTAGATAAGCATACACTTTAGTCATCATGCTGAATAAGATTACGTAATAGGAGGAGAGGAAGAACTTTTATCCACAGACTAAGAAAAAATTAGGTTTTATCTGATAAAAAAAAAGATCTAAAATATAAGAGAGATAAATTCGAAGAGGAAAGGTTGAAAAAAAGGAAAAAAGGTCGAGCAGGCCGGAGATCAGGCAGAAGGAAGAAAGATGGAGACGGCACAAGATCACGCGAAGAAGAGAAAGAGAAAACACAAGAGCTCCGAAGGGAAGAACGCAAAGTCTCAGCAACAGAGCATAGAAGCCGACCCGCAGCGCGCAGAGACGCCTACCAAGAAGCAAAAGATCGATCAAGATGAGGATGAGGCTGAAGCAGTTGAGAATGACGGTCAACAGATAGAGAACGGCGTCGAGCCGTCTGCAGAGGTGCCGGCTCTCCCATCCGCGGACACAATGGCTCTCCCCACGCAGCAGGCCGTGTCGGACAAGTTTAGCGACCTCTCTCTCTCTGAACCGACAGTTAAGGCGATCGCCGGCATGGGCTTCACCACGATGACTGAGATACAGCAACGGGGGATCCCGCCTTCGTTGGCTGGTAGGGATATTCTGGGTGCTGCGAAGACAGGGTCGGGGAAGACGCTGGCCTTCTTGATCCCCGCCGTGGAGATATTGCGGTCATTGAAGTTTAAGCCTAGGAACGGTATGATTTTCCAGCTGGGTGTCATGGGCCAAAATCTATGGAGAGCATCAGGCTAACATGCTGCTTGTCAGGTACTGGCGCGCTCATCATCACACCCACCCGAGAACTGGCCCTGCAGATCTTTGGCGTTGCGAGAGAGCTGATGGAACACCACTCACAGACGTACGGAGTGGTCATTGGAGGCGCAAATAGGAGAGCTGAAGCGGAAAAGCTGAATAAGGGTGTCAATGTCCTGATCGGGACTCCCGGTCGACTGTTGGACCATCTCCGGTCCACTGAAGGTTTCGTGTTTAAGAATTTAAAGACGCTTGTCATTGACGAGGCAGATAGGTGAGCTCTACCTGCGCCCACGCTCTAAGTTCTCCATGCTAAAGGTTGAGTAGAATTCTCGAGGTAGGGTTTGAAGATGAATTACGACAGATCATTTCTATTCTCCCCAAAGACGACAGACAGACCATGCTCTTCTCGGCCACCCAGACTACCAAAGTCGAGGACCTTGCCCGCATCTCCCTCAAACCAGGTCCTCTCTACATCAATGTCGACCACAAAAAGGAGCACAGCACAGTAGACGGCGTGGAGCAAGGGTTCATCATCTGCGAAGCTCACAAGCGGTTCCTCCTCCTTTTCTCTTTCCTGAAGAAGAATGCCAAAAAGAAGATTATCGTCTTCTTTTCAAGCTGTAACTCTGTCAAGTACTACTCGGAGCTGCTGAACTATATCGATCTGCCGGTGCTGAGCTTACACGGTAAGCTGAAGCAGCAGAAGCGAACCAATACGTTCTTCGAATTCTGTAACTCTGCCCAGGGCACACTTATCTGTACCGATGTCGCTGCAAGGGGTTTGGATATTCCAGCAGTCGATTATATTGTACAGCTTGATCCGCCGGACGATGTAAGTCATCCAACACCAATATATATATATAGCTAGAAATGCTAACTCTCCCCCAGCCAAGAGACTATATCCACAGAGTCGGTCGAACGGCCCGAGGTAAGGGCAAGGTCGGACGAAGCTTGATGTTCCTCCAGCCGTCGGAAGTCGGCTTCATCAATCACCTCCGTGAAGCTCGAGTTCCCGTGGTCGAATTCGAATTCCCTACAAAACACATTATCAACATCCAGTCTCAATTGGAAAAGCTTATCAGCCAAAACTACTACTTAAACCAGGTAAGCTCCTTTCCAGGTCTCTTTGATAGGTCCGTTGCTTATCCTCACGTTTCATTTTAGTCCGCCAAAGAAGGATACCGTTCGTACCTCCACGCCTACGCCTCGCACTCTCTCCGCTCTGTGTTTGATGTCAACAAGCTTGACCTGGTCAAGGTGGCCAAGAGCTACGGCTTTGTCACTCCGCCTCGAGTTGACATCACGCTGGGGGCGAGCATGAGCAGAGACAAGAAGGTCCAGGCCAGAAGGACATATGGAAGCCAGCCAAAGGGCGCGAGGTTCAAGCGGAAGCATGACGGTGACCATTGAATGTGCATTTTACTCTATATTAACGAAGGCCCTCCATAAAGACTTTGAACTTAAAATACGCTGCTTATTAAGCATTTAGTAATTATAAATCACGTGAATATAATATTAACTTAATTAGGTAAGGCGCAAAGTATTCAATTTCTGAACGCGATGAATTTCTCAGACATCAAGAAAAGAATCAAGCAGGACGCAGGTCAACCAGGAATCCGAGCACGATGGTGGCAGTATGTAGTGTGTTTGCCTCACGGCAGCTGGCTCGCTCGGGTAAGTCCTTACTCTCTCATTAGTCCCGGTGAATGAGTTGACTGAGCCACGGTGTAGGAATGAGCCTGTCACGGCTCTGTCGACGAAGCATGAGCTCGACCGCCTGTCTCAGGGAGGATATCTCTCTCCGAGACTCTCTGATGGCCGCCAATGGGAAGGGTGCTGCAGCCGATAAACAGCCAGACCCGTCTGCGCCCAAGGTCACTTACCGTCCACCCGCCGTCAAACGGGGGTCACTCGCCTCTGGCTCTATATTCGCCGACGGAGACGACGTCACGTTCTCTCCCTCGGGCCCGGTCCCTAAGCGGCCGTCGCCGTCCAGAACGGCGTCACCGGCCGAGCCGGCCGCGGGGGCAGAACACCCTACCGATCTGGCGCGGCGAGACAGAGCACTGGTCGAACGGACGCTGATCCCCCATCCCAACCGCCGGGCGAGATGGGAGCGGAAGATGGTGATCCGGGCCGTCAAGAGCCGCGGACAGCTGACGAAGGAGGAGATAATCCACCAGACCGAACGAGAGCTGCAGAGCCGATCACACTTTTTCAAGACGTCGTTGAAGAAGCTGGGTCCGCTGGCCAGACAGGTGGCGGGCAAGAACATCGACGAGGCGATCCTTCAGATGAAGTTTAGCAAGAAGAAGGCGGCAAAGGATGTTAAGCTGTTTCTCGAGCAGGCCAGGAACGAAGCCGTTGTCAGCAGGGGGATGGGGCTGGGCGTTAAAGACGGGAGCGAAGGGGCGGCCGGGGTCGAGATCAGGTTGAAGGATGGCAAGGCGTACACGGTCACGGACGAGACGGCCATATATATCGACCAGGCGTGGGTGAACCGTGGGCCGTACGGGACGGACTACGACCACCGGGCCAGGGGTCAGATCAACCGGCTCCGGCCGCCGCACACGGCGCTGGCGGTGGTCCTGAAGGAGGACAAGACGCGGATAAGGGAGTGGAAGGACCGCACGGAGAGGGCGTTGAAGGAGCGGAAATCCAAGCTTTGGGTCCAGCTGCCCGACCGCAGGGTCAGCGCCCAGAGCCAGTACTATAGTTGGTAGCCGGACAGCAGATCATGTACAATAGGAGTCTTTTACGATAGAATTAATCTTGGCATTCTGTATGTCAAAGCAAGTTCATTAGGCAAAGCAACCAAAACGGGTATCATGTCTATAACAGGCAAACTCCGAGAAGCGAAAGAGAGAGAAAAGAAAGATGCCGGTAACTCCGTCCAGAGGGTCCATCGCGATAGATTCTCACTTCTCCACCTTGGCGACTGCCCCTTTGCTCGTGACGCGAGAGCCTACGGCACCCTTCCTGGAAGCGGGCAGCCGTGGCTGCTGCGACGACTTTGACGACTGACGACGCAGGTTGGGCAGGATCTCGATGTCGGGGAAGAAGGCCTCCTGGTTGGCGGCCGTGAGTTCGAGGAAGTAGGCGCGCAGGTCGTTGAGGACCCGGAGGATCTCGTCAAAGGACTTGCTGCTCCCCACGCAGCCGTGCAGCCAGGCCGGAACCGGGCGCGGGATGCTCTTTGGCGACCTCTTTGTAGAAGTCGATGTAGCAGCAGAAGTCGATGTAGCAGTAGAAGTCGATGTAGCAGATGTAGATGTAGCAGTAGAAGTCGATGTAGAAGTAGCAGTCTGGCCGGCGATGGTCTCCCGGCGGCGGAGGGCGAGGTCGAAGCTCTCGACGCCGCCCCAGGCGCGCATGTTGCGGATGGTGTCGATGGCGAGCCTGCACTGGGTGAAGGGCCACTCGTCGTTGCGGTAGCGGGCGCGCTGGTAGTGCTTGCGGCAGTAGTATATCCAGACCGAGTCCGGGACGTTGACGGTGCACTTCTTGTTTCTCCCGAAGATGTGGGAGATGACCTTGCGGTAGTGGCTGGAGCCGGTCGAGCAGGACTCGTCGAACTGGCACTGCTGCGCCATGGCCGGTTAGGAGGATATGTATTCAGGCTGTCGAGCAGGACTAGAGAAGTAGAGGGATATCTTCTCGCAGAGGACAACTCCAGTGAGGTGGAGAATAATAAGAAGAGGAAGAGAGGAAGAGAAGAGGTATTCACCTGATAACAGGTCAGGCTATTGAATATAAGCTGGTATGAGGGAAGTGCCGTGGCCGGTGAAGGTCCTGGAACTTCCCAGTAGAAGATCTAAGATCTAGGAAGAGAGGAAGAGAAGACAAGACAGGGTGACTGATGCGGCATCTTCCTGAAGTGAAGGATGAACTGAAGGAGATCTCGACAGGATATAAGGATGAGGATATAAGGATGAGGATATAAGGATGAGGATATAAGGATGAGGATATAAGGATGGCAGGTCTCGGTCCTGCAGGCCGTCGACGGAGGCCATGAGACGCCTGGATATGAAGCCGTGTGCATCACCTCTTGACCATCTTCTGGGATATCAAGTAGAAGAAGAGAAGAAGAAGAGAAGAAGAAGAGAAGAGAAGAAGAGAGCCCATCTTGACCATCTTCATCTCTCATCCAACCTGGTCGGACACTCACCGGTAGAAGTGGATGGAGAAGACGGACTCTCTTCTTCTCTTCTCTTCTTCTCTTCATCTTCTTCTTCTCTTCATCTTCTTCTTCTCTTCATCTTGAAT